CAATCACCTGGAGTGAAAGACCTCTGCAGGCAGTGAGGAATAAAATCTTGAGCCATAACAATAGATGCTTTGAAGCTGCACACTGCATTCTAAACACATGACATTCCTGCTATCATTGCTCTTGGTAAACATGACAGTGAAAGTTCAAATCCAATATAATTGAGACGTACTTAGTGCTTCATAATTTTGTCCATTGCTTTTGAACAACAAACCTTTATATAAAGAAATCTGATATACAGTATCTCTGCCCCTATTGGTAGCACTTGGGGCTGTTATTCTTGCATAAGGTTTTTAATATTTGTTGGTTCATATTTTCATATTTTTTTATTTCAGGTGAAGAAGGTGAAGAGGATGAGGAGGAAGATGACCCTGATTATGATCCATCTAAAGACAAGTCTAAGGATCAGCAAGCCGAATGTAAACAGCAGTGACCTCCCTCTACAAAATAGGTCTCTCTTCAGTGACGTGTAAAGGCAGCATCTGGGGTCTTGCCAGTTAGATTTCTGTGATGTGGGGAAAACTTTATTTTCTGGATTTCAAGATTACAAGTAGTTTTTCTTTACTAAGTGCATACAATCGTAGGTGTGCCAGATTGTTAACCAGAGTGCTATATCTGTTCTGTTCATGGCAGGCCAGAACTTAAGGAAATCTATGTACTTTCGAAATTGTTTAGCTGTTCATAGTTTTCTTGTTCAACAGTGGTGTTGCCCTACATAATGTAGTGCATAAACTGTCAAGATTGTCTACTACAGTGGCCCTACCCCAGATTTCTTTGTAGCACCCAGTGTATGATACTAGCAAAATGTAAATTGAGCAGTCATGACAATGGTTGTCATATTCAGAGGTGGTTTGGTTAATTTGTTAAGAGATTTATTGTAAGCTTGAAAGTATGTACAATATAGTAACTGTAAATGACAACCGTTGCTTTATGGAGGCTCGGTACTCTTGGCTAGATTAACATACTCTGGACAAACCTGCCTAAATACCTGTCAGTTCACTATAGAACCAGCATGCTAGGTTCTATAAGGTTCATCCATGAGGGTACTAAGTTCTCTTCATTGTGATATAATGCATATAAAAATTGTGCACTTTCTTTCTGCAAAGTCTGTTGGTTATTAGAGAACCCCTTTTTGTACCAATGTCATTGCATTATACCAAGCTTGAGATCTGATGCATGGCTGTTGACTACTCCACATCTTTAGCATTTCTCAAAAAGATTTCTGAATGTGGAACATTACAACAGCCATGAAGTCAAGAAGGATGTCGATGCTGTTGGGTGATGATGGAGCTGTTGCATTTTATCTCTAGGAGAATAACAAATTGTTGAAAAGAAACGAATCTTTCATTGCCTGTTACAAAATTGCCCATTTAGGGAAGAGATGGATACTTACTGTACCCAGTCTGCTTGGTAAATAATTGTAATAGCTTTGTTACCACAGCTGCTAATGGGTATGTCTACTACAGTGGCCCTACCCCAGATTTCTTTGTAGCACCCAGTGTATGATACTAGCAAAATGTAAATTGAGCAGGTCATGACAATGGTTGTCATATTCAGAGGTGGTTTGGTTAATTTGTTAAGAGATTTATTGTAAGCTTGAAAGTATGTACAATATAGTAACTGTAAATGACAACCGTTGCTTTATGGAGGCTCGGTACTCTTGGCTAGATTAACATACTCTGGACAAACCTGCCTAAATACCTGTCAGTTCACTATAGAACCAGCATGCTAGGTTCTATAAGGTTCATCCATGAGGGTACTAAGTTCTCTTCATTGTGATATAATGCATATAAAAATTGTGCACTTTCTTTCTGCAAAGTCTATGTTGGTTATTAGAGAACCCCTTTTTGTACCAATGTCATTGCATTATACCAAGCTTGAGATCTGATGCATGGCTGTTGACTACTCCACATCTTTAGCATTTCTCAAAAAGATTTCTGAATGTGGAACATTACAACAGCCATGAAGTCAAGAAGGATGTCGATGCTGTTGGGTGATGATGGAGCTGTTGCATTTTATCTCTAGGAGAATAACAAATTGTTGAAAAGAAACGAATCTTTCATTGCCTGTTACAAAATTGCCCATTTAGGGAAGAGATGGATACTTACTGTACCCAGTCTGCTTGGTAAATAATTGTAATAGCTTTGTTACCACAGCTGCTAATATATATGCTCTTTTTCATTTCTTATTTTTTTTAACCCCTGAAGTATCTTAACATATAGAAGTCTGAAGAAGTTATATTTACCTACAGTATATGCATTTAAGAATTTTGATATTGCCCATAATGGATGTGAAAATAGACAACTTCGGTAGGTATTGCTAGCTTTAAAAACTACAAGTGATGAACTTGATTATAGAATTTATACTTTGAATGCCTGACAGTTAGTATTATTGAATGTCCATAGTTTTCTTTGGAAGTAATTTTGTTGGTGCATATCCCACAAATCAAAATTATTTTTGGTAGATATCGACGGACCTTAAGTTTTTGAATGAGGAAATGGCTCTAAAAGTAAAGGAGAAAGCGAGCTTACTATACTAAGACGGTTGAAATTTGCTTTTAAAAAACTTAGTAGAAACAGAGTATTGCTATACATAAATTCAAGCCATTATTTTTCTTTCAATACGAAGTGATAATTGGTAAAAATGAAGCTAGCTGCCATGCATTGCTTACCAGCAATTGCATGTGTAAACGGATTTGTACTGAATGGGCAGAAAATTGTCTGTATAGCAACTAGGAATGAATGCAAGTGGATTTTACATGTGGAGTGCCTTTATGGGTTGGTCAGTTGCCAACCATATGGATTAAGGTCTTTGAAAGTCATGCTTGGGAAGTTTTGGGTGTCAATAGTGCAAGAAAATATATTTGGTCCATAATTTCATTCCCGTTTAAAAGTAGTGAAGTAAGTGGTAAGTCAAACCAGTGTTTAAAACTGTTAAGTTCAACACGTCAGTGAGATGTCCATGATGCTATTTTAAGAATTTAATAAAAGACCAGATACGGTTATGACTTTTTATTCGTAAACTTTTGTAGTTTGACTTGAAATATGTAGTACAAAAATGGTTACGGAATTAACAACTGAGATTGAAAATCTTGAGAGGAAATTAATGAGCTAGTCAGTGTACAGGTTTCATAGAGCTATCGTAGTAGTATAGCAGTCATAAAAATGAAACATGTTCCAAGGAGCTATTGAAATCCAGTAGCAGTCATAAATGTGATAAATAAATCACGTAATTGTAATATTTCCACATTATAAATTTCCGGTGAACTGTGGAGATAGTGAAGAGCATACTGATCAGAGGTTTAATGTGTAAAAAAAGTTATTTTAGTGATAACTAATAATGGTTTATAACATTTGAAATTCATGAATATTTATTTGTATAAACCATTGACGTTTAATGTTACCAAAGGTTGGGTAAAGCTGAATAAAGCTTTTCTTTATTCAGTCAACATTTTCATTTCTATAAAAAAAAGGAAAAATAAAGCTCAACCTACATTTTAGTTTATTTTCGAGTTAATTTTACTATGTAAAATGCAGATGATGCCATACATATGGTAGCTATTTGATTACGCTCCTATACCTATAAATGATATTTTCAAAGCCTGCGTACATTGGCGGATCCAAGATGTTCTAAAATAGGGGATGGGGGTTAATGTAAAAGGGTGTGAAGGAACAGGTAGCTCATCCATTGGGGATCTTAAGGGGCATTTTCAAACATAATGAGACAAAGTGTAATAATATTGATTAATTCTGTAAACAGGAGAGGGTAATGAGCTCATAAAAAGAACTGTAAAGCGAATTTTTCTAAGGCTAAGAACAAAGATCACGAATACACATCTATGAAAATTTACTAGAAACTATATGCAAACTTTTACAGCTGACATTTATTCCCATTTTAAGTATAACTAGACAGTTGCCTAAACATTCACCTATCTCTGTATATCGTTTTTCTTTCATTCTTTCTCTGTCTCTCGCTGCGTTCATGTGGCCCACGGATATGCACATAAATAATTACCTCGTTTGGGTGCAAATAAGGATTTGGGTTACTGACTATGACGCTGCTGCTAATAGTTGCACTAAACGTGGATAAAATAACAAACTAATAAATAATGAATCACGATTCTTGTTAATACAAATCACATGGCGTATACTTAAATTAATCGTGCATTGCAAATATAGTCCTGGTACGCGATATACCAGCTTTTCATAATTCCTGAATACGTATAATATATCTTTAATTAATGGCTAAGAAGAAAAATAAGTCACTCTTTATGTATAAGTGAAATTCCAATGAACGCATTTGCTGGGAAACATATTCATTGGAACATATTTGAGATGTTGAATATGAATAAGAAAAACAGCATCGTGTATATACGATAGCAGAGAAGTATTATAGTGTCACTTTTAAATCAATGACTTGTGTAATTCTTTGTCATTACTTTTTGTCTTTTCGACAAAAAGTAGGGAAATACATTTCATATATACCCGATGCTCTGGATATATCTTAAACATGATTGTTATATCATGGACAATGTACTATAATTACTATCGTCACTGACCTGCTCTTACACAAAACTTTATATGTGGAAAAATGTTGATAAATGCAGCGATATGACAGACTACGCAATCCGAACATTGTTCCCAGATCAGAGGGTAAAGAGCTCATAAAAAAGAGAACTGTGGAAAGGAATATTTTATTGCATCGGATCTTCTGGGTGTGGTAAGGCAACCTTTTTTTGAGGTGTGGCGGTGTCCACAAAGGAATTGTTATACATCAAAGCAAAACCTCCAAAAAAACACATCGCAGGAATAGAGGACATTAACCGTTTGTAACAAATCGTAGAACACGTCGCAGTAGAAAAGCGCCACAACCTCTAAAACTCGCATTTACGAGAGGAGGACGGTGCGGCATAGCGAGTAGTTGCCTGGGCCGCCCACAGATGCCGGGCGCGCCGCTGGCTGGGTTGCGCGCGCGGCCCGAGTGTCGTCTGCTGGTCTGGCCAGTTGATTGTAAACACAGGCAATGGCAGGTGGTGTTACTCGTAGACTCTCTCGCGGGATGTCACTTCAAAAGCGGACAAAGGATTAATATCGCCGGATCGTCTCAAGATGTCAATCAGG